CTCTATCTCCGTCTTCAGGTTCCTACATAGTTGGGCCCACTAGATAGAGCTAATCCCTATCTCCGGACCTTCCATCGTCTAGTAAATATAAAACGTAAAACGACGTTTCGGAGATGGGACTCTATCTCCGTCTTCAGGTTCCTACACAGTTGGGCCCACTAGATAGAGCTAATCCCTATCTCCGGACAAAGTAAAAAAGGTGTAAGTCCCGGAATAAAAAGACATCACCACACCATCCATCCGTGGAACGTAAAAGAATAAATAGTAGAAATAAAATTCGTTAAACACGATAAAGCCAAATAAAACAAAAACTCACAAAATGTGGGAATAAATACACATGAACATTAATTCGAAACCGGAATCCAAATAAGAGATAAATCCAAACGTCGTTTTACGTTTTATATTTTACTAGACGATGGATAATATCCAAGGAAATTTTTTTATTCAAATGACTCTTCACCATCGTCAAGAAGTTTTAGATCTGATATACAGAAAATTCAGTAAGCCATCTAGTTAGTTAGTTAGGTGGCTGGTTGACTGGCTCATGGATTCTCTTTCTGAGTCAGACGAACACTATTTCACAACAAACTCTGCTTAAACGCGGGTTTGTACAACGTGGTTTAGGTTATACACGTGAAAATAAATGCTAATGATTATGAATAAAAATTTTCTTGAATATTATCCATCGTCTAGTAAAATATAAAACGTAAAACGACGTTTCGGAGGTGGGGGGGCTCTATCTCCGTCTTCAGGTTCCTACTCAGTTGGGCCCACTAGATAGAGCTAATCCCTATCTCCGGACAAAGTAAAAAAGGTGTAAGTCCCGGAATAAAAAGACATCACCACACCATCCATCCGTGGAACGTAAAAGAATAAATAGTAGAAATAAAATTCGTTAAACACGATAAAGCCAAATAAAACAAAAACTCACAAAATGTGGGAATAAATACACATGAACATTAATTCGAAACCGGAATCCAAATAAGAGATAAATCCAAACGTCGTTTTACGTTTTATATTTTACTAGACGATGGATAATATCCAAGGAAATTTTTTTATTCAAATGACTCTTCACCATCGTCAAGAAGTTTTAGATCTGATATACAGAAAATTCAGTTATACGCGGTCTGCCAAACACGCTGTATAGCATGAGAAAAATACCGATGCTGTTTAAGAAACTAAGGACCTTAGCTTTTACTAGGTATATTTTATTCAGGGCACGTAGAACCTCGACGGCCACGACACGATTTCTGCCTCCCGCGTGGCTCACAGTCTCGCAATCCGCGGTCAAAGTCTCGCTTACGCCGATACCTTGTTACGTTTCTCGTATTTGGCTGTTCATGGCAATGCCCTTGGATAGCAGCATGGAACCAGAATTGAAATTGAAATGTGACAGTGGAACAAAGAAAAGTCGTACGTTTTATGACACCAGAAGATAAAATAACGTAAGTCATGCAGCTGTTGGTCTGTTGATATTTTACTTTAATGGTCAACTTTCTGATGATACTTATTGCATTACAGTGTGTTCAAAAATAAATATTAAGCGATATTTTATTAATTTACTTTGACTTCCTACGGCCCCTTTCCATATAATACTGAGTTCGTCCAACGCGGTTGCTTTCTAGGAACTTATCCCCGGCTCTGGGCTAGGGTGCACAGTAACGAGGGAATATTTTTTAACACGAAACTGTCTTTTAATTTATTTCAAAAGAAGCGTTGTGAGTAAAACTTTTAAGTTCATAAAAGCGTTCGGTTGCATATAAATAAGACGAATATCCTCAAGGAAGTGGTTTCCCCGTCTATTTTAAACATCGGCGGAACATTTCTGGCCAAGCGAAAATGTTAGGTTAGGTTATGTGAGGTTATGACAGAAGTAATAAATCTGGTGCGATGTTATTTGAGTCAGCATAACAGCTGACAAACACAAAGGGAAAAGACAATGTATATGCCACATTTTCTAATAATGTATTTTAAACCTTTATTATGTTTTATTTAGTGTTCTGTCTGACGACAGGTCCATATGAACAGGATCCTTCCATCCTTTTCTCGGACTGGGACCTGTTCATATACGTTCTTGGCAGATGATCCAGAAGTGGTTTGCCACTGCCTTCTTCTGTGTGTGAATGGAGTAAGTGTTGGGATGCCACGGAGGAAAACTCCGGGTTGCCTAGACCACGGCCTGGCCCAACACAAGTTATAAATTCGAACCCGACACCCCTTTATTTATTATTATTTAGTGTTCTGTCTGATGACAGGTCCATATGAACAGGATCCTTCGATCCTTTTCTCGGACTGGGACCTGTTCATATCCGTTCTTGGCAGATGATCCAGAAGTGGTTTGGCATTGCCTTCTTCTGTGTGTGAATGGGGTAATTGTTGGGATGCCACGGAGGAAAACTCCGTTTTGCCTAGACCACGGCCTTGCCCAACACAAGTTATAAATTCGGGCACCGCCGGGAATCGAACCCGAGACCCCAGGATTACAAGGCCAGCGTTCTAACCGCTAGACCACCTCATCTTATAATTTCTCTGCACATGAAAACATCAACTGTACGAGATTTTTACTCGTACAACAATACGCCTTCTCAATGCTGTACAATTGTTGCGGTTACAATGTGTGATTTTGGAAAGTGACGAGAAAAATTTACGTACGAAGTCGATACCGCGGTCAAGATTCGAACTGGGTATCACATTGCATCTTTATTTCTTTCGTTGTTGTAAAAAAAATAGGATTCTAGCCTGTTCCAGTTAGAATCATTCCTGAAACTATGTAGCATATCTCTTGGAAATACTTCTTGGACAGGGGATCAGCCCTTCGTATACACAGGGCAACATCTTAACAGAAACAAAGGCGGACAGACATCGAGAGGGAATCGAACCGGCGAACCCAATGTTCTCAAGCGGTTGAGGACCTCGCCGAAGAATGCACAACCGATTTAACATCCATTATTGTTATCATGTTGTGATATTTTGTTGTAAACCATGAATGTGTTTACTGTTTGTATGTAACATCGATATCGATAAGATTGTTTTCGTAATTATCTCTCGTGAAATTCTTTGTTAAAGATGATGATTATTCGGAACCATTCAGCCGATCCGGATGCAGATAAAATGATTTAGCCCAAGGGCATAAATTGAAAGTACAATCTCTGTCCAAACTGCGTAGATTTAAATGAAATATGGTAATGAGGGTGTATACTGAAAGTTTTTAAACGATTACTTTTAACTTATATTGTTACGAAATAATCTGTATTTTAAATATAACTTGAATTGAATTTAGTAATTTTTAATGGTTTGCATAATGTATACTTAGGATGAGAGCCTCGTCGCATATTTGGTGTTAGCCAGCGTTTCGGCAAACATTGCAGTTGCCATCTTCAAGGTGAATGAGGCCTTGTATAAAAGTATAAAGTATATAACGCACCAACAGGCTGTGTGTATCGAAACGGTATTTTTTCCTTGCATTGTTGCCGTAGTTTGCCTCTTACATATTCTTTTATCTGATAATCGACAACAATGGAGTTGAGAGAGTTTTCGATAAAATCCTGTGGAGAATAAACGATCATTTTTAAATCTTCTCTACTATAAAAATTTGTGATTTCGTCGTCGTCAATAAATTACGTCATCAACAATGTCAACTATAAACAAACTCGGCATTGTTGTGGAACACAACAATGCCGAGTTTAGTGTCTTACTCAAGATTTTAAAACGCAACCAACCCCCCCGAAGGAGGGGTTGGTCAAGTGTTTTAACCCTCCATTCGGGGGGTTTAGTTTAGTTTCTTACACAAGATTTTAAAACGCAACTCCCCCCCCCCCGAAGGGGTTGGTTGCTTTTTAAAAACTTGACAACCCCCTCCGAGGAGCTCCGAAAGGAGCGTTCTGCCCTAGTGACTTAAAAATAGGTTTTTGTTGACCGTAGTAGATTGATGGTGTACTCTTTAGTTACATTTACTGAGTAATTGGCAATTAATCCGCGTTACGATTTAAAGCTGAAAAAAGGTCGACTTGAATGCATCGGGAGAGTGAGTTCCAGTTACGCAGTTTTCAAACAAGTTTAAATTATAATAATTAAAATAACCTAATTATATTTCTTCTTAGGGGGCTCCTCGCTAATGTCTCCGCCTCCAATGTTTACGAAGCTCTACAAATGTTAAGATTAACCTACTTAGGGTATGACGATTATCCAAGGAGATAAAGTCGGAAGCACTTTATTTATTTATTTTGTTCGTCTATGGCGTGGCGTGATGAACTTCGCGAGCAGCTGGTGTTAAGTCTACAGCAAATAAAAGTCAAGGCCAGAACGTACTTGGATAGACAGCAAAGGAAAAATAAAAGTTCAAGGAATGGATTTCTTTAACAATGCAAAGAAGTTTAAAAAATGCTGTACATAAACACAGAGGCCTACGTATTTGCTCTGTACTCACTAATAACTGCGTTTGCCGAATTTCGTGAATCTCTGAATAAAAGTTCGAGCTTTTAACTCGAAGCTTGGAAGTCATGTCACTGTGATAAGCGAAGTTTCGAGTGCAATAGACCCTAATTAATTCATGTCAGAAATGCGTACAGAATTTTAGTCGGTAAACGTGACTTGAAGAAACTACTTTGTATTCCTAAGCGAAGATGAAAGGTTTATATTAAATTGGATTTTAGACTGAACGTATTTCCTTGATAATAATGTGCAGTGACGGACTCAGTACTGAACCTTAGCGTCTCATAAAAGGTAATTTCGTAGGATTATGTTACACGGAGTTTGATTTTTACGATAGCGCATGGTAGCTCAAAGTTTGGTAAATTTCTTCGTCTTAATTTCATATTTCCCACTTGGCGTCGCATTGGTTTGCCCCAACGATTCTACAAAACGCAGATTTTAAAAAGATAAATGACTGTCTTCCGGCACATAACGCCGTGCAGTCTGGTAGAACTTTACAGACGTTTCAGAGGCGATTTTAGTCCTGATGATGGAGGCAGCAAGGTATACGCGGTTCGTACCTGACCTATCCCGAGCGAGTTTAATCCAGTCCACAATTTTACATCGTATTTCTTTAATATATGTTTAACTCCTAGCTAATTTAAGGTTTACTAAATGCACTCTGCAGCCACGGTGGTCTAGCGGTTAGAACGCTGGCCTTGTAATCCTGGGGGTCTCGGGTTCGATTTCCGGCGGTGCCCGAATTTATAACTTGTGTTGGACAAGGCCGTGGTCTAGGCAACACGGAGTTTTCCTTCGTGGCATCCCAACAATTACTCCATTCACACACAGAAGAAGGCAATGGCAAACCACTTCTGGATCATCTGCCAAGAACGTATATGAACAGGTCCCAGTCCGAGAAAAGGATGGAAGGATCCTGTTCATATGGACCTGTCGTCAGACAGAACACTAAATAAAAAATAAAATAAAATGCACTCTTTACTTCGGGTTTCTCATCCCGAGAGCTGAAGTTCCTTCTCGCCTTCGTACGTCAGTCGGGATGCGTGCAAGAGACGAGATATTTCTAGCAGCTTTGGCTAGTGTGCCAGAATGAAATCTAAGTTCCTTGAATGAAATGTCAAATTGAAGAATCTTCTCAATCCAAGCGTCGACCCCTCGCCAACCTGTGACCCCCTCTACCATAAAAGGCTTGGAATTTTTAAATTGGCTGAGCAACTGTTAGCTTTACAGAAAGTCTCTTCATCTTGGTCAGTTAAAATTGTGATTTGTTGCAGCTCAGATGTTTGGCGTGAGACACTTGCAAATAATGCTCATGTTCTTGTGCCTCGCCGTCGGGTACTCGCTGCGAGTCAACTTGTCTGTCGCCATTGTTGCCATGATGGACAGGAATGGGACAGGAGTCGATTTTCCTGTAAGTATTAATGCTTAAGTTTAAGTACTGATGACATTTTGAGAAAGCAAATCAGTAACCATCAGTTTATTGCATTTGTCTGATAATCTGGTCTGTGCAGCTTTTTAGTAACGTTGTAGATATTTCATCATAACCACGTGAATTTTTTTGGTTTGAGAGAATTTATTAGACTTTTAATTTCATTTGTTGTTGTGGGCATAAGACTTAAATTTGGGAAGGTTTTAGGGATTGCTTGTTGCGTCTCCTGTTGTTGTGGTTGTAGCGTCATTCTTAATTCTTTATATAATTGTTAAGAAATAAGTATTGAAAGAATTTGCTGTGAGTTTAGGATTCTTTATTATATTATCCTCTATCTCTTTTGATGGGGTCATTTATTCTGTAGAATATTCACAATTTTTCAGACTGCTTTTTAGTAATACATTATTTTTTTTCAAACACCTTTATCTCTGTTTTGATGGGGAAACTCGCTTCAAAATTTCTTAACAAGAAATTTAGGAATGTGTGAAATTTTGAATGTACGTACATCATGTCTGTTTAATACTGACTCCCAGTTTTCATTATTTAGCCACGTTACAATATTTAATGTTTCTTTTACTGACTTTTAAATTACGTTATTTCAGGAATACAACTGGGACCCAACTGTGAAAGCAAATATACTGACTTCTTTCTTCTGGGGCTATGTCATAACGCAAATACCAGCAGGACAACTTGCTCAGAGGTTTGGACCAAAGATCCTCCTCACAGGGTCCTTATTTACATGTTCAGTGTTCACTGTCCTGACGCCTCTAGCAGCTGAAATTGGTGACTGGGGTCTCGTGTGCGGAGCAAGAGTGATTCAAGGACTTGCCCAGGTAAGTCATTCCCTATTAAGGGCAGTAAAGGTAAACATTTTAAATGCAACACACTAATAACAAGTTCTATGCTGGTGGTAGCATAGCTACTGGTAGGGCCTCCCTAGCCAGATTGGTCGAGGGGGAGAGGTCAGACTAAGACAGGTACCCTGGTCCTCCAGGTTGGGGGTTGGTCGCAAGGCTAACAACCTTGCACCGTAAAAAGGAAGATGTTTCGAAACCTCGATCAAAGCCTCGGACAGACGGACCGAACGGAAGAGGAGAATTGAGGAGGCCATGGACCGAATATGGACCAGAGAGCCATAGAAGAAGAAGAATAACAAGTTCTAGGAACAACGTACTATCATTTAAATGTGCCCTAAGTCATAAATTAAAAATGAAATACCATTCTGATTTATTTCTTAACAAACTTTCACCTTACATAGATGCTTGTTGACTAGATGAATAATTATCAACTGTCCAGGGAAGATCGTATTCCAGTAGCGTTAGTTAATTGCAACTGTTACAAAATTTCAGTAACTGAGATTTCATATGTACGTGTTAATTCTGTACACTTGCCATGTTGGGATTTTCAACACGTACACACAAAGTAAACTTTTAAATAATAAGCGCAGATAGAGGGTCTCTACTTTGTCATGAGTCTGGGTCCTATATAGTGTTATGGCAAAGTTTCATGAGTAGCGGAGCAGGAGAAGCCATTTACTCGCTGCCTGATTTCCTGCTACAGTTTGAGCAACACTGGAAGTGCCAACCTTCTGTACAGGCCTGTTATCTTGAAAAATGATTATTCTAAACATACAAAAAAAAAAAAATTTAATGATGGAAATTCCCTGCAGAGTTCTTTAATTACTTTCTTGTAGTGAATGAAGATAATCCACATATATGTTATCTTTTAGTGTGTTCCATAAATAAAAGACACTTGAATTTAAAATGAGTGGATAGGTCACAATCCTTCTTGATTTATCGCTCGTCACCAAAACATTCAGCCAGTACATTCGTAGGATATTATTAGCTGCGTGGGCCACATAGTTCTTCATTTTCAGTTAGTTGATCATAAATGAATGAGTCCTAAATAATTTTCAGAGTGTCAAAAGAAAATTAGCCTTATTTTCCTCCAAACACTAATCACACTCTGCACTTTGACTTTCAAATCATGTAGGGGCACTTCATAAGAGCATGAGGATTTTCTGTTGACTGGTATAAATTGTTTTGATGTTTATAAAAATCATGCTTGGTCTAGTGAAGGCATAAAGGAGTTACAGAAGAAGCAGATAACCCGCTGACATCACATTTCAAAGCCATAATTTTCATGATAAACTGGAGTTCCAGTACAATTATAATCTGTAACACCAAATTTCACATGCCTGCTTACAGTGGTTCACTGAATAGTAACAGCAGACATACAATTAACAGGTATAATAATTATATCATTATGCAAATGTTATGTATCTTTTCAAAAATGTTTATGGATTGTCATGAAACTAGGAATTTCTGTATACAGTGTATTCCGGTTAATTGGGACACTTTTGGACTAGAAAACTTTGTCCCAAATAAATGGCTGCCCCAATTAACCGGAATCTACTTTATATATTTGTTCTAAATACACAATGAATTGTATATATCTTTTGCGGACACACACAAATAATTTCTTAATGCAGAATTTCACATACAAAGTTTCATGATACTTCTGAATGGAGTTTTCCAGGATTGTGCTACATATTGAAACAGCCATAGAAAATTAGTTACTGATTTTGTGTTCCATCTTGTAGGGATTCATATATCCTTCCGTTCACACCCTTCTATCCAGCTGGGCTCCAATTGAGGAAAGAGGCAGATTTGCCACGTATGTGTATGCAGGTAAGCAAAGAGCCTACGTGAAGTAAAATTATTAGCTGGTTTAGTGTAAACTCATCTCCAAAAGTTAGGATCACATTTTTAAGTCTACCTAAAGAACTGTGTGCTGTTTTCATCACAGCCATCCACGTCATCACCATAATCACCCTTGTTTTGAAGGTTCTGCTAACGGCTAGTTCCAAGTGTGGATAAGAGATTTATAAATTTCCCTCCTTTATCCTGTAACACTCAAAACATTTGTATTACCGTCTCTTAGTGGAATTTTTAGAGAATTAACAAATTTATTGATGCTTTGAGAGATTGTACAATATATAAGAGAAGTGCACATTTAACTTACAGGTTGAAGTTCCTGAATTGTTTGTCTGAACATGAAGTAGTGTAAAATAACCATATTCTTTGTGAAATAATAGGATAATAAATGAGGTTACAGTCTTCATGAATACAGTCTGCAAAAGGTTGAAAATGAAGACTGTCATTTCGCACGTTGTGCCAAGTAATCCCGTAAAAATTTACTGATATTTTACAAGTGCTTTCTGCCTCCATCACCCTGATGGTGGAGGAAGTAAACATCTCTGAAAAGTTGGTCAATTCCTATAAGATTACATGGCCAAACATTCCTGAAACCTGGAATCTCACTAGGGTGAATATTCTTGGAAGTGACTCTCCAGACTGAATAAACTTAGAACATCCAAGAAAATGGTCTAATAAAAACAAGTTGTAAATTTATTTGAGAGGCACTGGCTGGAAGGTGGAAGAGCAGCCAAAAATTGAAAATTGTAATATTAATGTCTATCTATACAGGAGGACAAATTGGAACCATCATAGCCATGCCTATATGTGGTGCCCTTGCATCTTCAGCAATAGGCTGGCCATCTATCTTCTACATATTTGGTGCATTGGGTATATGCTGGGTTTTGCTCTGGATGTTTCTGGGAGCAGACTCTCCTGGTACTCACAGGTTCATCTCAAAAGCAGAACAACTGTACATTGAAACCAACCTTGGTTGCAAAGTATCTACCGACACAGTACGTGGTAGTTCACATTTCTATAATACACACAAGGCATCTATCTACCAGCCAGATTTCAAAATTAGTTTATTGTTTTTCATCTGGAATACCAACAGTTGTGTTGAATGAACTGTGATCATGATATGAAGCTTTCACTGTGACTAAAAATAATGAAGTCTTGAGTAATAATTTTGCTGTCAGTGAAGTCTTGTATCATAATTCAGTTCAGTTAAACTGTTGACTAAAATTTTATAATCCAAATTGCTGATAAATTCTGAAGTATGTCACTGAATTTATTTTGAATAAACCATCTACCAGTAATGGTTCTTTATGTTATAAACGATGTAATATGAATGGTCTTTTGAATTTACAGAAACGTCAGACTCCTTGGCTTGAAATTTGCACTTCATTACCCTTGTGGGCTGTAGTCATTGCCCACTGTGGCCAGAATTGGGGCTTCTGGACATTGCTTACAGAGATGCCATCTTATATGAATTCCATCCTCAAGTTTGATCTGCAGTCAGTAAGTAGATGTTTGGTTTCAGATGTATTTTGTGATTATTTTGTTCCATAATTCATACGTTTTCTTCTTTCTATGGCGCAATAGCCCGAAATCGAGCCTTGGCCTCCTCCCATGTGGGAGGTTTCTTTGTCTTTGAAGGGTGCATTTATGAGTAGTGAGTGACAAGCCCACTGCCTCTTCACAATTTCTACTCAATCCTGATTTGTCTGCTAGAGCCATCTAGTAGTGAATTGGGATAAACTTGGGTGAGAAATGGCCACTGAATTTTGCTTGCGAAACATATTGTTTCATGCTCGCAAGGTTCTTTTACATGCCGTAAATCTACGTGGGACTGCCAGCTTTACTTCCTCTCTGAAGGAAGTTGTGCTACAGATTTTTAAAATTCCATTGACCTCAGCCGGGTTTCAACCCATGAACCTTGGGTCCAGTGGCGAGCACGCTAACCACTAGTCCACCAAGGGTGACAATTCATACCTTTTATTCAGAAAAAATCCCACTGTTTTGCTATGCTGAGCATGTTTTTCAATAAAATATGTGTCATTCTTAGAAACTCAAACACAACAGTGAAATAACATTACTCAGAAGAGGTTATGTTGCCATTTGGAACTGTTCCTCAAGCTCTGAAAGATTATTTCTGATTGAAAGGATTATTACATGTTGTGTACATTTTCTGCTATCATTAGCTTCGTATTTTGAAAATATGATTTTGTTAATGTATTCACTGGGAAATATGAACTCCTCTTACCCCTCTGGCAAACTGTAGAAGCGATTTGTGTATGGTTGAAACTAATGATAATTAAAATATATTACAAAACTCTTATGACATGTGCAAAGAACGTGTATATGTGCCACAATATTCATAATCAGTAGGATGTGAACATTAAACTGCAATTATCTTTGGTTTGGCACAATGTTACAGAATGGCCTCCTATCAGCACTGCCATATCTTGTCATGTGGCTCATGAGTTTTGTCTTCAGCTGGGTGTCAGATTTTCTCAATACAAGGCACATAATATCACTTGGTACATCAAGAAAAGTATTCAACAGTATTGGTAAGTTTTATTAAATTTTCTATGAATTGTAAATTTCATCATTATTAACAGCTACGTGTGTAGGCTCATGGTCCATTCAATTTTCAAATGAAGAATATTCCTATCTTCTTCTGTGGTGACTCATCTGTATGTCCTTTTGGACTGTAGGATAACAGACAGTTTCAAGTCAGTCATTCTCTCTTCTGTTTATCAAGATCTGTTTGGCTTAAGAATCTCATCTCTGGAAATTTTATTTTCTGGTTATCAGTTCCCTTTTCACACCCTGGATACTGGGAACGACGTTTGATATGCACTGCGGGTCCCAACATTTCATTAACTCGATCTATAGACATTTTGGTAGGACTCCTTGGACGAGGGATTGGCCCATCGCAAGGCTCTACCTGTACACAGGACAGCACAACACAGAAAAACGCGGACAAACATCCATGGCTTGAGTGGGATTCGAACCCACAGTCCCAGTGACCGCGCGGCCACTGCAAATTCCCATGATTTTACAAAATCTTAGATGTGCCTCCATCATTCCTTATGCTCTTAATATGCATCATGTAGTCAAACGTGCTGAAAAACAGCTGGGCTCATATGAACATATTCTCCTTGTTGGTGTGTTACATCACATTCCTAATAGTTTAAATTCAAGACTTGTTAATCTTCATCATGTGGAAATAGGGGATTTGAATCCCCAAATTATGGGTCTTCCAGCACTGGGGTTAACAGTTTAATGATATGTTATGGTGACGCATGGCAAACTGGACTGTGCATAAGGTGTTCCAAATGACCAGAAAAGGTTAAATTATTTTGTCATTGATAATCGTTTTTATGTATATTTATACTTGAAGTTACTAAATATTTTTATGTAATTTTATAGAGACTGTTAATTTGATCAGTTGATTCTTAACAGTAACATATGGAACGAGGAGCTTGGAAAGATTATATTAAATAGTAGAGGGTGAATGTACATGCACATTCTCTGTGATTATAAAGCCTGAGTTAAGGTAGCTTATAATTTGGAGTGTACTCTTAACATTATTCAGTAGAGATGTAATGTTCGATACATGCAGTCCTTTTGTAATGAACTGCTGTTGGTACATTCTGATCACATCCTTGGAGACAGAAAGTAAAAAGATTTTTCTAATATCTGAGATTTTTATGAAACTGAAGTTTGTTATGCTAAAGATTTATGACAACTGGAGCCATTAAATTAGGGGTCAGCAACCTTTACATGTGGTCTGTCGTGTGATTTTTGAATTAGTAAATTTCATGAAGGGCAAAACTTTTCTGCTGCTGAGAACATTGATATGAATATATAGACTTTATCGAAGCACAAGGGCAAACACTCACAACAAATTCTTTAATTAAACAATTTTATAACTTTAAAATTGCTTTATTGTGCAAAGATACACTATTCCATTACTGAGGCCATATAAAATTTAACAACACAGAATGAAAATTACTGTGGTATAAATCAGTGGTATTCAACCTTTTTTGTTCGCGTACCCCCAGATATAATTTATCTTCAACTTTGTACCCCCAAAGTTGTTGGTGTATAATTTAAGTTATACGTAGTATATAATTTAAATTTAAAATAAATTACATTACTGATTATTCAGTGTTTATTATAAAATAATATATATATTTTTTAAATTTCACGTACCCCCTAAAATGTCTTCGCGTACCCCAGGTTGAATACCACTGGTATAAATAACTGAAATTTGAAAAATGTTTAGTGACTGAAATTAGAACTATTAGAGCTAACACTGTCTTACAAGAAAAAAAAAACCAGTTTTACGGAGAAATACAGCTATTACCTGCTTTAAACTGAATACCAGCTATCTTCTTTACGTTTATGTGGCCGACAGTTGTAGGGAGAATGCCAATTGCTGTCTTACTGAAAAAATGTTGAATATTTATTGATGTACATCTGTTTTGTATTAATTTGTCTATGGCAAGGTAGTGTGTGGTATTAACAAACCTGATTTGTGGTCACAGTGAAGGCCCAAGAGCTAGTCCATTAATCTGATTTGATTTCTTCTTGTAGTTTTAGCCTTTTGGTAATTTAAATAGTTCCAAGTCCATGTAGTATCTGTAACCCTTATGGGTCAAAGTTTGATATGCAGAATGTGGAATGTTAAATTAGTGAACAAAAACTGTATTTTGTTATCAAGATTCACAAAATAACTGTTTCATCTCTTCTGAATGAATCTGATCTGAAAAACATAAATTGTATGTTTTTCGTGGAGTTAGAATCTGCAATGCACACTGTTCACAGGGCACTGGATTCCTGGATTGGCTCTGATTGGTCTGACTTTGTCCAACACAACCGACAGCACAGCAGCAGTGGCATTGCTTACACTAGCTGTAGGTGTCAACTCTGCCGTTTATGTTGGTTTCCAGCTGAATCATATCGATTTATCTCCAAATTATGCTGGGACAATGATGGGAATTACCAACTGCATATCTAACATCATGTCTATTATTGCTCCACTTCTTGTCGGATTTATAGTCACAGATGAGGTGAGTTTTCTACAACATTAACGTCTATCCACTTATATGCAGGCTACATTTGCTTCTGCAGAGTAAATTGCTCAATGAGAAGCTTCATTACTTATTCTCTTTGCTGATACTGTTGAGATGATTAAAGAGGATGATATGAATAGGGCTTGCAGGGCACATAGAAGAAATAAGAAATATATACCAAACATTGGTCAGAAAACCTCAAGGCAAGAGAAAACTTGGGAAACCTAGGCAAAAATGAAAAATATACACTATAAGTGTTGTAAATTATAAATGTGATGGCTGGACTCAACTCATAAAGTAAAAAAGTAAAGCTGTCCCACTATACGCCATGTAGGCGTTTGGGGGGAGGGGCTGTATAGATCCTACTCATTCTTGACCTCGGCACTAGATGGGGATGAGTGGTCAGCATCACTCAAGTAACTCATAATAAGGTCCACTATCTACTAACATATTCTGTGAACATGCTCTTGAGTTCCTTAACTGTAGGCAACTTCTGAAACTGAGCGAAGTACAAACATTCGAAGTATGACCACCAACATGGAATTAGGTAATGCGGGATAGGGATGGGTGGGTGTGCGCGCACACGTCTGTGTCTGTGCGCGCATCTCTCTCTCCCCCTCCGCGTACCCCAGGTTGAATACCACTGGTATAAATAACTGAAATTTCAAAAATGTTTAGTGACTGAAATCAGAACTATTTGAGCTAACACTGTCTTACAAGAAAAAAAAAACCAGTTTTACGGAGAAATACAGCTATTACCTGCTTTAAACTGAATACCAGCTATCTTCTTTACGTTTATGTGGCCGACAGTTGTAGGGAGAATGCCAATTGCTGTCTTACTGAAAAAATGTTGAATATTTATTGATGTACATCTGTTTTGTATTAATTTGTCTATGGCAAGGTAGTGTGTGGTATTAACAAACCTGATTTGTGGTCACAGTGAAGGCCCAAGAGCTAGTCCATTAATCTGATTTGATTTCTTCTTGTAGTTTTAGCCTTTTGGTAATTTAAATAGTTCCAAGTCCATGTAGTATCTGTAACCCTTATGGGTCAAAGTTTGATATGCAGAATGTGGAATGTTAAATTAGTGAACAAAAACTGTATTTTGTTATCAAGATTCACAAAATAACTGTTTCATCTCTTCTGAATGAATCTGATCTGAAAAACATAAATTGTATGTTTTTCGTGGAGTTAGAATCTGCAATGCACACTGTTCACAGGGCACTGGATTCCTGGATTGGCTCTGATTGGTCTGACTTTGTCCAACACAACCGACAGCACAGCAGCAGTGGCATTGCTTACACTAGCTGTAGGTGTCAACTCTGCCGTTTATGTTGGTTTCCAGCTGAATCATATCGATTTATCTCCAAATTATGCTGGGACAATGATGGGAATTACCAACTGCATATCTAACATCATGTCTATTATTGCTCCACTTCTTGTCGGATTTATAGTCACAGATGAGGTGAGTTTTCTACAACATTAACGTCTATCCACTTATATGCAGGCTACATTTGCTTCTGCAGAGTAAATTGCTCAATGAGAAGCTTCATTACTTATTCTCTTTGCTGATACTGTTGAGATGATTAAAGAGGATGATATGAATAGGGCTTGCAGGGCACATAGAAGAAATAAGAAATATATACCAAACATTGGTCAGAAAACCTCAAGGCAAGAGAAAACTTGGGAAACCTAGGCAAAAATGAAAAATATACACTATAAGTGTTGTAAATTATAAATGTGATGGCTGGACTCAACTCATAAAGTAAAAAAGTAAAGCTGTCCCACTATACGCCATGTAGGCGTTTGGGGGGAGGGGCTGTATAGATCCTACTCATTCTTGACCTCGGCACTAGATGGGGATGAGTGGTCAGCATCACTCAAGTAACTCATAATAAGGTCCACTATCCACTAACATATTCTGTGAACATGCTCTTGAGTTCCTTAACTGTAGGCAACTTCTGAAACTGAGCGAAGTACAAACATTCGAAGTATGACCACCAACATGGAATTAGGTAATGCGGGATAGGGATGGGTGGGTGTGCGCGCACACGTCTGTGTCTGTGCGCGCATCTCTCTCTCCCCCTCCCAGGAGTGTGCATGTGTGTGTATATATATATATATAGCTGTCTGTGTTTATGATTATAGGAAAATGAAACACAGTGGCACACTGTGTTCTACATTGCGTCTGGTGTGTACTTTGGTGGTAATCTGTTCTTTGTGCTGTTTGGGAAAGCTGAAATCCAGTCTTGGAATGAACCAGATTCGCCAAGTAAGTGAATGTAATGAATGACACGCGTGTACGAATTCTATGACAGTGCACATTTTACAGCTGAAAAGAGGCTTAAACACGTTAGTCAGTCTGTATCAGCGGAATTCAGTTAGGAGTGTCACAGGATGTCTTCTTCCACTCCCACTGACCATCACAGCTGATTCGTTACCACTACTGCTTCATATATGGGTGATACTTGGATCAAATCTCAGCCACATTAGCTATCCTGATGTTTCTCTGGTTCTCCTCAGTCCCTACAGGATAGTACCTTAAATTATGACATTCCTTCCACACCAATACTTTATTTATGAGTCACATCACCAATTGATATTATGCAGTCTGATATACAAACAGTATCATTACATAAACCAAACACAAACAAATATACCTTCCACTGCTTACAGTCACAGCCTTAGATTTTAAATCCTTTTGTTGAAATGTATTAACAGTTCTTACAATTCTACACTTTTGAAATCACAACCCAGAACCTGGAGGTGTTTTGACACTTGCAGGTTGGTTTCCAAGAAGTAAATGTTGATTAAAGTTTAATTTCACTTTAATGCAGAGATGGAATTCCACTGGACTGATATAAAGAAAAGTAAATTTTCCCTGATACCATTTTATGTATATGAATGCCCCTCCTGGTCCTCCTCCCAGTACCAGAATTCACTGCTTTAGCATTTTGAAAGATGATACAGGCACAACTTTACAATTACTCATTAATTTTATATGATTCATACTGTGATACTGGGAATGACCCGTTCTTCAAGTGCCTGAGCACTGCGGGTCCCAACTTTTTGTTGGCTCGATCTATAAATATTCATAAGGACTCCTTGGACGAGGGATCGGCCTGTCGCAAGGCCTCTACCTGTACACAGGACAACACAACACAGAAAAACGCGGACAAACATCCATGGCTTGAGTGGGATTCGAACCCACGGTCCCAGCGACCAAGTTGCACAAGGCCCACGCCTCAGACCGCGCGGCCACTGCGGACCCCTATAATTCATACAAGGCATGCATAAAACCAGAATGTTTGTTGGAACGCTTTGAAATTGCAACGATTATCACTAATTAATTTGATGATTTCCTTGTTTCAAATGCACATATGCAGGCCTTGGATGGCATAACACACATGGCCCGCCAGGTTGCCCCGAGTAACACATGCTCTGAAAGCGCATGTCTGTGACAATATGAAAAAGCATAAGTACTGGTAATTTAAGGTTACTTAATGGGGAAATTTGTAAAATTAATGATTTGGCAAGATAAAATACAATCTCACATGTCTGAAGTATACAAGCTATTATGTATTGTATTACAGGAGATATAGAAGTCACGGAAAACAATGCTATGAAGAAAACACAGGCAACAGAAACGCTATGAAGAGTATGGCACTAGCGACATGCTTTAACAGATGTGCCCTGCCTTGGCGAGGTGGTACCGCTGATTTATAGCAGTGGTGGTGAAGTACAAAGGGCAAGCATAATGTATGGAAGAGAGACATGCTGAACTTATGCAGCTCTTCTGCCAAGCGCAACATGATAGAAAAAATCATTTGTACACAGTGTATATTATATTGAATTGTATATCGAAAGATTATTCAAGTCATTTTATGCAGCATTTTAGTCTGCTTTCAGTTTTGTATAAGTTAAATTAAACTTACATCCAATATCAAAATGTCTTTCTGTGTACATATGTCTGTCTGTCATCAACGATGTTGAAGAAACTGGTTATCAAACTTTGTATGAATGTCACTGCATATACAGTGACCCATGTAGACTTCAAATAATCCCTCTTTACATTGATAATTATGTAAGACCCATAAATACAAAATGAAGTGCTATTGATTGTTAAAACACGTTATACATACAGGTACTACTTAGCTCCAAAGGGTTAATTATATTGGCACATAGAAACTGGAAACTTTACATAACTTTGATAAACATACTCACAGCATACAAACTAGGCCAGGAGTGGCCTCATACCAAAGACATTTGAACCTAACTGTACACCAGATTATTTTTATTCTACTTCTGCACTTTCCAATCTACATAAAACATTGTGAACCCTGATTTTATTTAAAGAGTCACACAGCCAAGTACGAAAGTTTTATTATGTTAGCAACGTGTAAAGACTAATGTTATTCCTGTGCCTAAACATAAAAGGTGTATACAGAATGTGACATAAAATTCCACATATTCTCAGACTCATGACTAGATGGATGTGAATGTTCAACTTCAAAATCTGAACACATCTATGGAAAAAATCCTTTGGAATCAATATGGCAAGAGGTTGGTTGAGCATAAAATCATTCTGAATGTGATGAAAGAAAATAATACCAGTGCCCTAGCCAGGGATTGGGCTCAGGTCATCCCATCCATCTGACGAAGTAGCATATCCATCTTTGAAAGAAAATAATACCAGTGCCCTAGCCGGGGATTGGGCTCAGGTCATCCTGTGCTGACGAAGTAGCATATCCATCTTCGTGGCAACATAAAAAGAAAGAAAGCCATATTTTATCTTATGATTCAACACAAACTGCTTCAGAGGAACTGAAACAAGGAACAATGTGAGTATCAAGGTCACAATAGCACAATTTCTTGCACATTATACTCAAATGTTTAGGCACGGCTTAAAAACTAGAAACTACTGTGTTATGTCGTCTGACTTCTTACGAAACAACTTTATTTCCACTGAATGACTTTCCTGAAATTTTATATTGATGGCTATTATCAAAATTCATTAACACTAATAGAGATTAATAACGTTTCAAAAATTTCTTTATACAACAGATTATTTCTCAGATCATAACTCTATATCCGTTATTTCCTATGCACTGCATTAACTTGCTTCTCTTTTGTGCTACTTACAGAACCATGTGATAAAATGTGTCATGTTCAATACCTGCAAATTTGATGTCTTTAGGTAAAACATTATCTGGTGTCTTCATGCTCTATTGCAGAAGAAAGAAGTAAGACCTGAATTAAGAAAGTGATTTTTGTGTTCACATAAACACAGTAAACCTCTCTATCAACAATTTACATGACCAGAAATGGTATTATTAAAATCTATCATTTGTTACCAGTCTCTAACTTTTCACATGCCACATCAGTCGTGTGACAGAATACAGGAATGCGGCCAATAAGATGATGCTGATGGCTGTTGGGAATGTTCTTCAGTGTGCCCGATCTTCGAAACATTGGCAGTGTGAGGCCACGCTTCTACCACCGTAGACAGGATGTAAACGCATCCTCCACACGTCACAAGAAGAGTCACTATTATGACCAGGACATAATGAGATAAGTTTCCCACTGGTATATGCAGGCTGATACTTGGGGAGTTCTGCCAACAAGAGGGGGGAGGGGTTCATATATTTATTATTCAATAACAATTATAAACTATTAATAGAGAACAGAGCACACGAGTTTCAAAATGTGTTCTTTGCACAATGGTTAGCACTTTTTTATGATGAAAGTTCAGGTTCCATAAAAGCAGGGGATTTCTTGACCAGATGTGGTACTATCAGCTGCTGAGCATGGAGTGGTGGACCAGTATTAATCAAAATATAATGGTACCTGGTAAATCTTTAAAAAATGTTGCAGACATGGGGGGGGGTGGGGAGTTAGGAATAATGATAATAAATAAAAACTGCATTCATATAGTAATTAAGAGCAAATTAAATCTGACTGATGTTCGCTAACAAGCAATTCATAATTTTTTTTGTTTTTCTGTATGCTAATATAAAATGTAAATATCAAAATATGAAGAACTATAATTTTACCTCGTTTTGTACGGGTATAAAATTTATTCTTTCACATAAAGTGAAGAAAACAGATTGAACGTGTTAGAAAACAGGGAGCTGAGAAGAATATCTGAACCCAAGAGGGATAACAGGAAGCTGAGAAAACTACATACACAGGAGCACCAAAACTGAATCAGTCATTTGTGAAAGATTTAATTGTTTAGGGAACATAAACATTGTTTTTAAAATAAATCTAAAGATGCATGCACAATATTTTTTGTAACATCATAAACAGTGGCCATAACTTGAAATTTTGAGCAGTCATGACATTAAATGATGAATGAAATAGCATATATACTTTTCTTTTAAATTAAAGGTCTACATTTTTAACATTTCAAAAGCCAACTCTTGTCACTCTAAAGCTGATCTATAGTAAAATTCAGCATATGACATCTTATTGGAACTTGCATTTCATTAGCTTTCAAATAAGCCCAAAAAGATCTCCCTACTTCAAGCACAGTCACAGTTCAAGCAATTTTTACATGCAAAAATTCCCTATATTTTTAAAAATCCGAATGTGTTACAAAACCCGTGATGAGTAGAGAGCTAAAATTTGTCACTTTCACTTAGATCCACAGTCTAGAAGCTCAATATATTTTGCTGAAATCCAAAGGAGTTACATTGAAAATTGCATTTTTGTGTTTTTTTCCGGACATGGAATCACCACCCACCCACATAATAGCTTGACATCAATCACTTACTGTCTTGTACGTAAGATTGACCCACTGGCACAGGTCAGAACCACAAGGTCTACAGGGTGCGTGGATCCTCTTCCCTTGCACACACTGCATATCATTTTGACAGTGAAGCAGAAGGGATGGAGCTGCCAACTGCACCATGGAATAACCCCCATGTGGGGTAGGGCTATGATACCGCACATGAAATGGTAATGTCAGTGAGGCAGACAAGAGGTTCTCAGTGCGGTTTAGGCTGGAGTACACATACACTGAATGAGGGAGTGAATCTTTCTGGGATGCTTCTATGTCAACCATACCGACAGGACAAGCCTGTACCTGTAATAACAAATGTGAGATATTTAAATTATCATGTACTGGAAAGGATGGTAGAAGAAATGCAAAGTATATTTACATTGTATATTGGCAGTAACAGTATTAGTATGTTTATATTGTTTTTTATTTCTCCTTGTCCCTTTCAGTATCAGAATTCTCAGCATAGTTAATGTATGTACAGATGGAACAGAACACAAAATGACAGGCACAAAATTCAAGCAAAGCCTTGCTTTCTACAGGCACACCTGTCGAAAACGTCGCATATCTGCTAGCTGATCAGGGTTTACATAAAGGCCACTGGGCATGGTTTCTTCTAATATCATCACACAATCATCCAACAGTGTGAAATAGCCAGTTACAATTTCCACCAAAGAATGTATGTCTCTGCAACAGTAATGTGATACCATAAAATTCTTATACTGTTATTGGTCACTGAAACAAAGCAACTAAAGGAACGTAATTGCTAATTACAAACTATCAGTATTTTGTCTGTCGAATAAATATATAGATTCTTACCTATGAAAGCCCTCATTTTCAATACGACGAATTACTGTTGCATGAATTTCACAAATTTCATTACATCGCACAACACTTAAAATACAAAATGCCAACTGTATTATAAGTATCCACTCAACGAACAATACGTTATTCGTTTCCATTTTGCATACCAACACAAACACTAAACCATACACCACTCTTATTTACATTATGAATATTATAACCTCATGACACTTAATTACTTTCACATCCAGGCACAAACAAACCTCACTTGTACCAGCAGCTATCGAATCAACGATTACACAGATTTAGATTCTTTGGTCACAGAGATAATTACGTTTGTCCTTTGTTTATTCGCTTGCCAACGTCAGCATAAATATCAGCAAATAAAATTTCACTAAATTAAACTAACCAAGCATTTACAGGAAAGTAAATATATACAATAACGAGGACATATATCCGTTTCTCGTGGTTAAAATTATTTTTAAATGCAGAAATTGTACAGTGATGAATACAACAGAAGTTGTCACGGTTACCAAGGTAGTAACTAAAATACCGAAATCGAATACTTACTTCATTTAGTGCAATCATAACGATACGAATACTTCATTGACAGTTTGTTGAAAGTTGGATCGGTCACGGTGGTGGTTACTACGTTTATTACAGTTAAACGTGTTAGCTTTCTTTCTTGGAGGGACAATGAAGGATAAAGCTTTCCAACAACGGAAAAATGCAGCATTACATAATGACAGTGTCACTTCAAAGATGGCAATTCGTGAGTTCCTTAAATCAGCGCTTCCAAAATTGCATGTAAATGGTAACCATTATGATCTGTTATTACGGTAACTTCTGCAGAAGTATTGTAAAATACGTACTGATACATTTGTCTCTCATTCTGTGAGTAGTGACATCTCAGTAATGGTTCATCAGAAATAAATGTATTGTGTCAACTTGTCTCAAATCTGGCTCTAATTGTAGTTTATATATAAAAAAACTGTTCCATTTAGTAAAAGAAGGGAACCTTGATATCGTTTATAACAACAATTCTAAAATTAATATTTTTTTCGACAAATGTATTCACCATTACACACTCCGTACATTTTGTTTGAAATCTTTGTAAATATTAAAGTGAGATAATTATTTAACGTCCCAGAATTAAGTGCAACACTGTATAATTATGAAATATATCAAATAATTTTGCTGAGAATTTGAAAAAAAAAAATGGTATAATAAATTATTGAACATATTTTGTCTCCGTTTTGAGATGGCGATAGTGGTGGTGGCGGCGGCGAGACATTAATTGGTACTAAAAAGTGTCTTAAGTGCCCTTTATCGTTTTTTACGTTTTCTGAAATTGTAGGCAATTTCGTTCCACCTTTTCAGGTGTCGTAATGTTGCTCATCATGGCGGTACACTAAAATGTAATTCCAAATCTCTTAACACGACAAAACCGGCAGAATCACTTATGTGAAGTCGTATTTGTATCGTGAACAGATTATGCTGAATCATTCTGTGGTAATTTATAACATGTGTTACAGTTCGTACAGGCACGCAACAAACTGATAACACTTTAGGAAAGGTTAATAAATGACAAGAGTGACAGACAAATGAGGTACCAAGATTACAAATGAATATTTATGAGAAAACGCAAGAAATAACAATTTTAATTAAATATCAATGCAGAAACAAAGAAGTATTAGCACAGACCCGATGAGATGACGAAAACAAGGTCTCAGTGTTATTTCCACTCGCCAAATTGTTAAATGTACAGTCATGCATTTGAATTGAGAATATAGTCTCACACGAAATTGTAAACCTTCTTCTAAATACCGTCGAGGAACCGAACAACAGCTTCATTGCTTCTAACGTACGCCATATCCCGCGGCGTGCTGCCATCTCTGTTCTTGGCAGTGAAATTCCCACCCCGATCGACAAGCATCTGTACAAGCGACAGATGGCCGAACCAAGCTGCCCAATGAATCGGAGTATCATGGAATCTATCGAGTGAGTTCACTTGAGCTCCTGCATCGAGGAGAAGTCGAGATGTGTTCAACTGACCCTCTCCTGCAGCCATATGTAGCGGGGTGAATCGAAATCGACCTCCTCTCTCTTCCAGACCGGCACCATATTCAAAAAGTTTCCTTGCGATTTGTGTATAACCTTTGGCAGCGGCCCAATGTAATGGTGTGTAGTGTTCCTTGTCTCGTTCTGAAGGATTTCTTCCAGCTGTTAGTAAGTACTCGACTGAAGTCAGGTTACCTGACATAACAGCGTCATGCAGAGCCATCTCCTGCACGGAATAAGAACGTCATTGTTAACACTTCTATGATCTGTTAACTTAATGGAGGTTAGTTCTTAATGACAGACTGATAGTCGTTCAGCTAAACAGTTTTTTTAACATTGCACGGAACCCGGAAGTACTTTTCCGTGTATAAAAGTGCCTATCACTGTACCCCATAGTTCTACATGATTTCAGTTCTCACTTGGTGTATAAAAGTGCCTATCACTGTACCCTATAGTGCTACATGATTTCAGTTCTCACTTTTGCCCTTTCCTTACTATCCATCTTAATGTTACCCCCACTCAGATTTCCCACGGACCTATTCAATCTATTTCATTAAACTGAGCTGTGCTGTGCTGCAGCCTATCGACGACTCCAGGAAGTTCACTTCCTCAAGGACGACGACAACACTGACAAAGCGAATGTTGCCGGAGGCTAGTGAGTTCTTACGTTTGTGACAGTCTTTGCAGGTGGGAGTGTTAGTTCTTGGTGGAGTCAACCGAGGCAGACAGGGCAAAGAATTGGAGCAGGCCCACTGGTTCTCTAGGTTGAGAGTTGGGCGTGGCGCTATCGACTCCACACGACAAAAAATCTGCACTTACGAAACCTCATTGAAGTGAATTGAATTGAACACAACGTAATTAGTATATTATTTTCGTCCAGTTTAAATAAGCCTGTGTCAGTGTCTGAGGAGGGCGATTGTTTCAAGTAATGAGAAAGATAGAAATACAAAGTCAATAGAAACTTCGATGAATGAAGGCAAAGTGTCGCGGTTTGCCTGGAACTGGCTAAGGCTCGTTTCACACATACACGGCGACCGTCCAAACGGCTCCGTTTACACGGAACGGTGAACATTTCACACACAACTGATCATACCCGGAGCCGGTTATTCTGTTGTTTGTTGCCAACATAACTTGACAGTAAAACA